ATACCAAAAGTTGATCGATCCGTGCCATGGTGGAAATAAACTTACATATAAAATTTCATCAAAATCGGTTCAGCCGAACTTGAGATACACGCGTGCACACACAGACCGACAGACCGACAGACCGACAGACCGACAGACCGACAGGTTGCTAAAAATAGTTTATTTACACTTCCCTACTATGGAGAAGTACGTTCCCACCGAAAACTCGATATGCAAAATTTGTTGCCATCACATAACCTACCTATTGTTTACACAATACGGTCGGTAAAAATTATCTGGTAGGTACTCCAAAATATTTTTTGCACAAAGAAAAATTTTCTATACTAGCCTAATAAAAAAAAAAAATTGCTGTAAGGACAAAAAAAAAAATTTTCTATGCAATCTTCTTGAAGCAATCAATAATGAGGTTATGACGTTCAAAAATAGATAATTTTTTTCTTTCTTTTATATCTTGTACAATTATAGTTACAATGTCATTGAAAATGGGGTAAGAAGTATCTAAATAGATGATTATATGATGAGAACAAAATTATATGATGATGAAAAAATAAAAACCCTCTATTTGTTTACATTGACATTTCATATAGGAGAATAATGATTGTGACGATAATAGTGTGACGATAATAATGATAATAATGGTGGGTAGGTATTTAAAATACTGCATTTAAATTCCCAAAGTACTTTTAATTTTTAAAATATAGCTGATATTGTCAATTTTTAATAGTTGTGTTTAGAGTGGTTTTTATCGTATTATATACATATATATTTTACGCATGTATTTTGCAGTGTTTCGTTTCTGAATAATTTTCTTTTGTAAAAAGAAATCATGTAGAAAATTGTTTAAAATTTTAATTATTTATATTGAATTTTTTAATTCTATAACAATATTAGAATTTGTAATGAGAAAAAGTGATAGTTATATAGAATTTATTATGTATATTTCGTGTTATATGCAATATATACGTATGTATGTGAAAATTTGAAAGAAAATTTGCAAACAATCGAAACCTATGTAATTATGTGTACTTGATATTTCAACTTATTTATATAATATTTGAATTTTTAATTAATATGATATGGGTTAACGACTTAATATATTAAATATTTGTGTTATTAATTTATAACATTATAATTATCTGTTTATTTAATTTATATATATGCACTTTCAGGTTTTGTTTTATACAGGTTTCTTTGTACCAATCTTACTTTATCTTCTTTTATTATATATGCCATGTTCCACGTAAAGTTGCAATATTATATTGTATGCTGGAAGGGGGGGGGGGGGTCTTATTTTATTAAAATTTCTTCTGTATTGGTGGCTAAAAAGCAAGGAGTTACATTAACCTGGAAAAGGAATTGTCTTACTAATACCCATGATTTGTTTGTCAGCTTAGGTGTTTTTCCTGTTTTGGTATAAAGCCCCAAGGGTTTTCTTCTTAAAATCATTCATTGCAGCTATTTTTATAACCTTAAAGCTATTTGCAATTACCTCGTAATTGTTCAGAACTGTACATTTTGATCATTCTTATACAATTGAGGCACATCGTTTATTTAACAAGCTACCCGAATATGTGAGGAAAATCAGAACAATACCTAAATTCCTAAGTGAAATCAAAAAATTGACTTGTGAAACACTTATTTCGGAAAACAAATGTCTTCTAAGTAGTAGATAATTGTAGCAATTATCAAATTTTCATATTTTTTTCTTTAATCTTATACAATTTTTAATTAAATTAATTGAATTTACTCGCAAAAACTACAATTTGAATCACCCTTTTACTATATGTTAAGTTTATCATTCATTATAATTTTTATATACATCTATAAACACCCCCCATGTCATTTTAAATATCATATTGTATACGCTTTGTTTAACTCCTTTCATCTAAAAATTGTACCAATTTTTTAATATATATTCCCAATTTATAGACAAAAAAAACTCAGATAGCTAGTATTTCACTTTCTCGTTGTATAAACCCCCTACTTTGGTTAAATTTTATGATTATTTTAACATTTAGATCAAATTCATAATTGCATATTTACATTTATAAATTTTGTAATTTTTGAGAAAAAAATTTGTTCATCCTATAACCACATATTGAGCCTAGACAAAGTCAAGCAACCGATTAAAAAAAAATATTATATAAATATACATATATAAAATATATATTTTAATACTCTAATGTATTAATCATAACTATATAAATGTATGTATATTATGATATATAATAAAATAATATTAAAATTACAAGACGGATAAGATTTGTGTACAAATATATTATGAGGACAAAATACTCATTTATATAAAATTTCCTATTATATGCCTTTAATAATTTGTCGAAATAAAACTTTATCACCTCATATTGTACTCATGTTACATAAGTATAAAAGAATCATTTTAAGAATCATTTTTTATAATAAATCACACATTAGTTTAAAAAAAAATAAGGTACCATAAAATAATATTAATAGTATAATAGGCACAAGTATATAACATTTAAAATAATTATAAAATAATTTTTCATTTCCTATCTAATATTAATAAGACCGTAGATAATAAGTTAATAATATCCTAGAATAAATTGGTAAATTCTATATAAGTATACAATATATTCAGACGGATATTAAAATTCCCATTTATTTAATGCACTTCAGTTTTGTAATTTTAAAATGAATAAAATACATAATATATTTGTATGCATTTATAAATACATAAAATACCAACAGGTTTATATAAATATTAAAAAATACTTCCTTATATTATAATGTATATAAACAAACTTATATATATATATATATAACGAATAGAATTCACGAAATATATTTAATTTTAATTTTCTTATTATGATATTTTAGTAAAAAATATTTTTTCTCATTTCTTCATTGTATATATTTATTAAAATTACAATATGTATACCAAAATATATAAAATGAAATCACATAAGTATAAAAATAAATAATTGTATCCTTGAATAGAAATTGACTCCCTCGAATTTTACCTAAATAATAAAAATAAAATAAATAAAATTTAGTCTGCCGTAAAAGATGTTATAAATTCATCATATATATACTTGGATATAATGTACTCGTACAGCCGAATAAAAGTGTGTAAAATATACTTGTACTTCATATTATATTCTCAAATAATTTTGTTAAATTTACATCGAGTGTTACGTTTTCTATAATTTTATTCCAATTCATATATTTTTCAAAAAATTATTTAATTACAAAACAAAAATTGAGTGGTTCTTGCTATGTGTAATTTTAAGTCATACATCATAAAATTTTATCAACACTTCAATCAAAAACATTATTTCAATTCATTAAATGAATAAATAGTATGTCTTTTCTAAATAAAAAGGATCTCAGAAAATTCAATTAAATGGAAAAGTAAAAAAAATTATAATCTTATAAATTATATTTAATTGCTTATAGTATAGTAAACACGAGTGCGAGGAAACTTAACCTAATTATAATTTTTTACTTATATAACATATATGTGGCTTATATATGTAAATTTCAAATTATCTAACAAAAAACCTTAAAGCCTTTTAATTATTTTCGGGTTACAGAAATATTTTAATATATTGTCTCAAATCTGAGTGTATGCATTTAATTAAATAATTATAATCAGAATCATATTGTACTCGTACAGTGGTTTCAAACATAACATATATGTATACTCAAATCTAACACCTATATAAATCAATTCATGTGCATATACATGCATTTTATGACATACAAAAACGAAAAGAAATCATTCATTCAAATAAAATACACACAAAAATCATATTATACAAATATACAAAACAAAAAATAACGGAAATTTTTTTTGTTTTTGCTCGCAAAAATTTATCTAAAAAAATATTAAACCGTTATTATTTAGAATTATTTTCATTATATGTGAGAGTAATGCACAAAACATTTTCTCTATAACATAACAAACCTTTGTACATTTCATTTATATACATTTACATATTAATACATTTACAATTTTATTAATTTTTATAATTGTGTGAGTAATTTTCTTGAAATTAATAAAATATAATGGGAAAAAAATAAAATATTAAAGTAGAAGCAAAAAAAAAAAAACAAAATACTATTTTTGTATGTTATCCTTGTGTAATTATTTTAAAAAATTATGTATTACACCGTGTGCATTTATATAAATGCAACAATACACGTACATACATGTATATTTCAGCATTATTAATAAATTTATAATTTTGTAAAATTAAAAAAAAATACATACATTTAAATATTGTAATTATTTGCGAAATTATTACAAAAAAAAAAAAAACAAGAAAACAACAAAAATCTTTCGGTTTTCCACTTAAAATAGGAAAACCACACACACATAAATAAAATAAAACTCACGACATACCAACACATGGATAAAACATAAAAATATGAAAGTAAAAAAAAAAACGTATTTAAGTTTTGCGCGCACTAAAATTAATTTCAGTTTTTCTTCGATATTTATTGGTAACGGTTGTCAAAAAGGGAAAAAATCATAAATCAAAAATCATAATTTTTGTGGAAAATCACAATAATAGCAAAAAAACAAAATAACAAAAGAAAAATGTCCTTATAACATTATATACAATTAATTTCATATTATTATGTAATATAAAATATAAAATTGAAATTAAATTTATGTATTTTTTTAAATAAAATATAAAATATTTCAATTATAACTTGAATTTATTTTTTAATAAATAAAATTATAAAATATAATTATTATGTAAAAAAAATTTTTTTTTTTTTGCCTTTAATGAATTATGTAATAATAAATACAGTATAACATTTATTTCGAATGAAAAAATGAAATTTTATTTTTTCTAACAAAAAATTTATTTTATTATATTAAATTTATAAATTATATAATATATAGGTAATATACGCATAACAAATAATTTAAAAATAATTATAAAATTTTAATAATTAAATTTTTGCGAATTCAAAAAAAAAAAAAAATTAATAATTTAAACTATGATATAAAAATATATTTAATATAATTTAAATAAATAATAAAAAAACATTCTTAATAATTTTTGATTTTCAAATTTTTTTAAAAAAAAAAATTTTATCAAATGGAATATTTAATATAAAAATATTAGTTATTATTGGTAAGTTTAGAATAAATTTTGTTCCTTATTGCACTTTATTTTGCATAATATTAAACAACCACACATTAGGAAACATTACTAATCTTTAAGGGATTTTAATAGTTTTATATTAAAAAATTTTATAATTAAATTTTATTAATTTTCAATATTAATACATTTATATATAAAGAAATTTATTGAATTCTTAAAATTTTTTTTCTCTTAATTTTTTTGCCTTTTCTAATTAAAAATAATTTTTTTAAAAATTTTTTTTCCCTTTACCCCTATATTTTAGCATTTTTTAGCACTATTGTGTCACCTACGGTAATACTTTATGATATTTGAATAGATATTATTGAAAAAACTTAAATCATTTAGTTCTTTCCTCATAATAAAAAAATTTTAAAGGCTAAAACTAATTTAGTACATGTGCTAACACTCTGCCAAATTGTTAGTGCAATAACAATCGAAAATAATAAAATAAAAAATGCTAAAACAATGACTTACATATATTATTTTAGCATTTTTTAGCATTATTGTGTCACCTACGGTAATACTTTATAATATATGAATAGATGTTTTTGAAAAAAGTTAAATAATTTAGTTCTTTCCTCATAATAAAAAAATTTTAAAGGCTAAAACAAGTTTAATAGAATTGTTAACACTCTGACTAATTGTTAGTGCAATATAACAATCGAAAATATTCATACTAGTATCACAGAGTTTACTTGATTAAGTCTATTCTCTCTCTCTCATTTTTTGTATATTCTACTAATTATTAATTTCAGTTTTAAAATTAAATTATTTTAATCATATTTTTCTGGCTTTAAAATTAATTAATAATTAAAAAATTATATAGGACAAGATATACGTTATACTGAAATGCTAATGAATTTTTTTTTAACTCTAAATAAATTCCTTTAATTCAAATTTTTTGACGTATTCATATATTTACCATGTATAAAACTTTAAGAAGAAGGAAAAACCTTCATCATTAAAAACATTTATTTTAATTATTGCAATATCAAAGATAAATTATATAAATAATATACATATTCATATATTTTATTTAATTATGCCCTTCTTAGGTCCGGAATATTTTATTTTTATGTCCTTCTAAGTATTATTCCAAGTACATACATATAAATATGTATGTAAATTCCCTGCCCTTTTATATATTTTAAGTGGTTTTACATTATGAATTTTAAATTATTATTTTATTTTGCAATTTAAAATTTATGATCTCAAGGTTTATATTATATAAAATTTAAAATGTACATATAATTTTATTTACTTTTTAAATATGATTCTTTATTTATTTACTTAAAGTAAATTAATATAAATTAATCTTCCCTATGGAATAAATTTTAATATAAAGGGCAACGTCATTGCAAGTGAATTTTAGGGATTCTTATACATATATGAAGAAATATTTTGGTAAAAAACGAATGAGGCACATGTAACTCAAGCCGTTGACTAAAAATTTTGTATTTTGGGTATAAAATTTTAAAAATAAATTTAAATATGAAATTTTTGAATTTGATACTTGGTTACTATTCTAGCAATATAGAGACTAGAAATAAATTTTCACTATGAAAAAATCCTTTTTCGAAACATGAGTTCTTAAATGATATGAAAGTTAAACAATAATAGATTTAGCGTAAAAATTTATTAATTTATTAATTTGTTCTAATTTCTCTTTGCACTGTTTTAAAAGACTTTAACGCGATGCAATTAGTTTACACAGAGCATTCTGCCACATTTCCTGTATTTCTAAGCTCTATATTGCAATAATATATTTCTTTAATTTGAATTCCGCCTATATATCAGAATATAATATAAATTGGTAATTCCACATTGTACACGAATTACTCAGTTTAATTTAAAAAGATTTTAGTGGAAATTTTTCTATTATTGGAACATTTAAAGAACATTTTTATTAAAGGCACTCAAAATAATGAATTAATTTTTATTTTTTTGGAAAATATTTTTTTAAACTCAATTTTCATTTAATTTTTCAATATTTAATTTATGTATGTAATAAAACAATATTAACACATTATTTTTATTTTTTATTTCTTATATAAAACTGCTTTTGAACGATAACCAAAGAAATAAAGAAAAACTTTGCGAATTATTTAAACATGAGTCAACCTTAAGAAAAAACTTTTTCACAGTGCAGTGTTAAATTAAATTTTTTATTTCTTTTATTTTATTATACAACATTTCGAATCAACTTCTTGAAAAAATATAATATGTTTATAAAGAATAACTTCAAAAAAAAAAACCTTTTGAAGCCAAGAACAAGGCACTCACTTTTTGCTTTTGAAATCTTCTATACTTGGTTTTTCAAATTTAAGAAAATCTTATCTTTTTTATATTTTGTAACTTGCTAAAACAAAATGTTTCAAAATTTAAGGAATTATTGCTCTACTTGTTAATAAAAATGTTGCTTAAATTTTATATGCCCAGGAAGGAAACCATATAGAAATTTTTAATATTTGAATTTTACATAACATTCATACAACATAGCAGTTCTTATTCACGAATTTGCTAAAATTACTTCCTTGCAGTTTTTTGCTTGACCAGAACTTTACAATACAACCAGACAAACAGATTTTATTACTAAATTGCAAACAATAATTAATTTTAAGCGAAAATTACAACTAAATTCTTATTTTAAATGACAAGTTAAAAATTATGCATCAACTCTCCCCAACATAAACCGATTGTAGGATGAATGGCCCCGTTTTCAACAATCGAACTTTAAGCAAAACTCAAAATTGCTCATTTATTTTGAAAATAAATATGTATACATGGTGTTATGGTTATGAAAATTCAGATTCGGTGTCACTTCTGAAACTTTTTTTAAATTCGGCAGCATGTAGTCAGCATGTGGCACGTAGTTACAAGGAGAGCTTTAGTAATGTAATCGCAAACATCCAGTAGTGGATAAGCAGACGACGAAGAAGAAGCATATGTAATCATATATCTACAATAGGCATAACTTGTTATTAACTATTAGCACGCGCTTTTACAATTCAAAATGCATTTGAATATAAATTTCTTCTTAAAAAATTCTTAAACTATAAGCAATAATTAACTTTATATTTATATACACGAATTTTTCAGCAAGAAACATAATTAAGATTTTGAAAAATAATTTTACTAATTAAATTCATATATGTCTTCTTTGAAAAAATAAGATTTTTTAATTATAGAAAAAATTTTTACTTAGAAATTTAAAATGTCGTGCCACCACTTATTTATTAATTCAATGGCATATACTAAAATTATATGCTTAAATTGCTTTATGAGTTTTTCATTAAGGTTGAAAATTCACGTGTTGCATAATTCCAATATGTATGTGTTTGCAACTAAAATAAAATTTATATTGTATTTAGTTTTATTTAGACAGCTATATTAGTTATGAAACATGTGAAAATTCAAGTTAGAAAACATGTGCTTTGAGTTTGAAATGTAAAAATTAAGGATTTTCTATGCGTAATTTATAAATTTATTGAAAGTAATTTGATTTTTAATTTGTTGGATATTTTTTAAAAGCCTATATAACCATGATACTCAAAAATACTTATACAAAGTTCGTGCACCAATCTACGTGTAAAATAGTATTGGACCGAGGTTCCCATTTAAATTTTTTTCAATCGAAAAAATCTGCATATTTCTTAGAATTTAAGAAAAGAGAATACAAGAGGATTTTAACAATTAAGACAATTTTTTTATAAGCAGTAATAAAATTTTCAAATGTTCTTCTTCTGTAATGAAGGATAATTGAATTTTTTGCAATTGATTAAAACCGGTGAACCAAACAAATTTAATTTTTCCTTTAAAATTTCTTAATATCACTTATAGCTCTCCTATGCATCTCTTGAAATTTCAATCTTATCGTTGAAATTATTCTCTTAAAAATAAAATTATATTCAAAATTTTAGAATTCTGCGAATATTTTATTGAAAATTACTTAAATATGAAAAAAAATTTATTTAAATTTCATACGTATATATATATATTTATTTATTTATGCACCTTATTAAATATGTAAGTGTATGTATATACTGTAATATATGCAAATGTATATATTAAGATGTTATGCTAATTTCTTCTTTTGTATATAAATATATTTAAAAAATGAGGTTAAGTATTTATCATGGACATATAAAATCATTTTTTATTCCTTGTTTTTCTATTTTTTTGTTTTTTCTATTGTTTTCAAAAAATTTATGTTTTACAATTCTGAAAAATTATTAAAATTATTACTTGTATAAAGAAAAAATATTTTACAAGAAAGTTTAACATTTAATTCATACAAAATTTTCATTTCAATACAACTACATTGTTGCATTATATACATATATAATATATTATATATTATATATATATATATACGTACATTAATTTTATGAATGAATAACAAAAAATATATATATATATTTGTAAATATATGTAAATTTACAATTTACATTAGGATTATCATCTGTTCTTATGTCGGAAAAGGAACCTATTTACTTATTTTACTACAAAAACCCTTTAAAATGTTATACACCAAATTGCGAACTCTATATGGTATTTTTTATATAATTTTCTTTATCTTCGTAAGGAAATATCAAGGACAATACATGAGTCGCAGACATTTTTATTATGCGTAGGAAATCTTAAATGTATAACTAATTTTTATATTAAATCAAGATTAGAATTGTGAAGTCTAATTGACATGAAAAATCTTTCATATTTTTATAATATATGTGGCTTGTTTTGTTTTTGTGTTAAGAAAGAGGACAATATAATATGAATAAAACGGTTTCTTCCTCAGAGAATATTTTTTTTTTTGCAAATTTTATTATCGTTAAAACTATATGAATATATTGTATTTTAATTAAGTTTATAACATTTAGCATTTTTTTCGTGAACATTAAAGATGCTTATAAAATATCTATTAAAATTTATTTAAACTTTCAAGTTGGGTTTTGCTTGATCTTATTTAAGGCAAAAATATTCGCAAA